GAAGTCCATTGTGCCCTCTACCTAGTTGCCCTCAATATAACTTTTTCCCAGCTTTATTGAGGTATAATTGACAAAACTGTAAGATATTTAAAGTGTACAACATGATGACTTGATATACATATACATGTGAAAGGATTTCCCCCATCAAGTTAATTATCACATTCATCACCTCACCTCACATATTTACCTTTTTTTTCTTGGTGAAAATGTTTGAATTCTATTCTCTTAGCAAATTTCAGTTACACAATACAGTGTTATCAGTTCTAGTCACCATGTTTTACATTAGAGCCTCAGATCGTACTCATCTTATAACTGAAAGTTTGTACCCTTTTATCAGCCTCTCCCTATTTCCCCCACCTCTCAGTCTCTGGCAACCACTTTTCTGTTTTCTGTTTCTATGAGTTTTGACGTTTTTTTTAGATTCCACGTATAAGTGATACTATGCAGTATTTGTCTTTCTTTGGCTTATTTCACTTAGTGAAATGCCCTCCAGGTTCATCCACATTGTCACAAATGACAGGATTTCCTTCTTTTCTAAGGCTGAATAATATTCCGTTATATATACACACACATGCACCACATTTTCTTATATATTCATCTGCCCAAGGACACCATTGTTCTTCCCATACCTTGGCTATTGTGAATATGCTGCAATTAACATTGGACTATAGATGACCCTTCAAGATAGTGCTTTGTTTCCTTTGGATATATACCCAGAAGTGGGATTGGTGGATCACATGGTAGTTCTATTTTTAATTTCTTGAGGAACCTCCATACTGTTTTCCATAATGGCTATACCAGTTTATATTCCACCAGTTGTGTAAGGGGTTCCATTTTCTCTACATCTTTGCCAGCATTCGTTATCTCTTGTCTTTTTGCTAAGAGACATCCTAACAGTTTAAGGTCCTATGTCATTGTGGTTTTGATTAGCATTTTCTATTAGTGATGTTACACACTTTTTCATGTACCTGTTGGCCATTTATATGTCTTTGGCAAAATGTCTCTTCAGATCCTTTGCCCATCTTTTAACTGGGTTGTTTGGTTGTTTTGCTATTGAATTGTATGAGTTCCTTGTATATTTTGGATATAACCCCTTATCAGATATATGGTTTGCAAATATTTTCTTGTATTCCAGAGGTTGCCTTTTCATTTTATTGATGGTTTCCTTTGCGAAACAGAAGCTTTTTAGGTCACTGTAGTCCCATTTGTTTCTTTTTGCTTTTGTTGATTTTACTTTTGGTGTCAAATCCAAAAACTCATTGCCAAGACTCATGTCAAGGAGCTTACCGCCTGTGTTTTCTTCTAGGAGTTTTATGGTTTCAGGTCTTGCATAATTTCTTGCATAACTGTAGCACGATATCAAAACCAGGAAATTGACATCATTACTATCCACAGCATATTCAAATTTCACCAGTTTTACATGCACTCATTTGTGTTTGTGTGTATAGTTCTGTGCAATTTTACCACATATGTAGATTCATGTAATGCCATCACCATCAAGATACAGAACTGTTCTACCACCAAAAGGCTCCCTACTAGCACTGTTTTTACTTCACCCATTCACTGCTGAGGTAGCCCTTCATGACCCCACTTTACATGCAGGGTCTCCTATTGAGTAGATTCATCACCTTGGGTGGGCCTTGAGCTTTATCTCCTCCTGTGGAGTTATCAGAGCAGAAAATCAGTGTCTGCAGGATTCAGCAGAACACTTAAGAGCAAAAACTGGCTTTGACGGCTGCCTATTTATTAGTGTTCCTGGTTTTACTTTTTTGGGGGGATTTTGCAGTTTCTCTTCTCTGGTGCCAGCTCTTAGATGTGTTTAAAAAGGTATTTTAAGTTTTTTCCAAGCCTTTTAGTTGTTTCAGTCAGAAGGTTCATTCAAGGTTTCTAATATGCCATGTTTTGGAAACAGTTGACTCTGGACATGTTAAAGAACATTTATCTTTATGGTTTTCATTATAGTTTTTTTGTAATTAGAAAAGTGAACTTTGTTTTATCTTGGTGCCTGTGCACCTATGATTAGTTCGTGATTAGATATGCTTTTCATACGGAACCATGTAAGATAATGTAATTCAGGAATGGTCATACAATTTATAATGGGCCTCTTTATGAATAGTTTAATTTTAGACATATATTTTATTTGTCTCTATTCTAATCTTAATATTGAAATAACTAAAACACAGAGAAGTTAAATAATTTCCCCAAGCTCATAATCATTGGAAAGTCTGAGACCAAAGCTCACATGAATTTTTTGCTATAATCTTATCCTGTTTTCTACAACTCAGATTTAAATGGTTTTGCAATTAACTTTTAAGTTGGATTTATACACCCAACTATTATAAATTTCTCTGATCTTTCAAGTCAGGTTAAAAAGGCAAATATATAATTTAATTTCAAAAGCAAACAAAAAGAGAAAAGAAAATCCAATTTTGATTTTTAGAAAGTTTGAAATTTTAAAATTAGCATGTTTAGAAGTATCTGGCTATTGCTCAATATACAAACTCCTTTTGCATAGGGAAGAGCCTATGGGAAGTCATGTTTTCCACAGATAGATGATAGGAGGAATATAGCTCAACTTAAGGCCAAGACAAAATATGGGGAATTTCAAGCCTAAATGAAAAACTCTGATGAAACTCCGCGTTTTTGTGGTTGTAATCTTGTGATTATGCAGTTTCTCCATGTGCCAAGGGAAATGGAAAGACTGATGTTAATCCTGGGTTAAATTGCTTTGTTTGCCTTTTGATATAACGCTAATTATATTTCCAAACATACTTTTCCTTCCTTTAAGGTTCTTAAAGTATTCTAGCTCACCTTAAAAATGTGTTTAGGGAATTTGTTTAAAAGGTAGAAAGCATTGCCTAGTTTTAAATAAGTAAACATAACTTTTATATGGGGAATAGTAATCTAGGAATATAGGCTAGGCCACCACTGTCTAAGATGTTTGCTGTGTGTCAGAATTTATGTGGACCTGAATCAAAAATTTCCTGTTTAAAGACTGTGTGTTCTTTTTGCTGTGAGCAGATAGGTTCTCCACTTGTGTCAGTTCAAATCAGTGAATTGAAACAGAGTTTACTGATTGCTTGATAGGAGAGTTAGTTCTCAACTCAAAGAAATTTATGGTATATTGGGAAGGAGTGACAAGTTATTGGACTTATACGTATAGAGAGACCCTAAGAGCACCGATTTGGGAGAGAGGGAGTTTGGAAAAAGGGTGGTCAGTAAAGGCTTCATAGAAAGTGAAGTTTGAGCTGGGCTTTTAAGAATCAGCAGAATTACATCAATATTCAAATGAAATGAGAGCATTCTCCCAAAATAGGGACACTCAAAATGTTTCTCCCTCCCACCTGCACCGTCATTCATTTCTGTTTTCTTTATCTTCATTAGGGCAAATTGAAACGGTTCAATTTTATGGCCCCTATTTCTAATGCAATTCTTGGGCTCATGTAATTCTTTAGGCCACCTTTCTTTGCATACCCATTCCTAGACTGTAGTTTTTCTGAGTTAGAAAAGAGAAAAAGAAAACCAGGTTCAGCTGTTATCTTAGGAATAATGAGAATTCATCTGTCTCTGTTTCTCTGGCTCCTACTATGTCTTCTTGACCAATGCTTGTTTGTTTCCCTGTTACCTTATTTTGACTCCCTCTGATACTTCCCCACCTCAGTTGTCTGCTCATTCAATTCCAGTCCTCTCCCTGCTCCCCTCTTCACTTGAATTTGTTAGCCTCAGTCCTCACCTTGCCTGGCCCAATGCATGCCATCTCCATTCCTGAGCGTTGGCCCAGACATCTGCCATCTTGAGTGTCAATAGTCTTCCACCTTCCATCAGTATTTGGCCAGCCTCTGCATATGGTCTGACTTACACTGCTTGGTTAGCCAAAGCCTAGTCTTAATCAGATTCTTACCTCTTTCTGTAGTTTTCACACTGGGACCCAAACTAATTAGGTTAGTTAGTTAACCCCCCTGACTAATTAGTTTCATTAGTGTTCAGTTGATATAAGTAATTTAATTGTATTTTTTCTAATATCTGCAATTGTAGCTTTTTTCAGTATCTCCACTAGTAAAACTATTTTTATCTTCTGTGTTATTTCAATTTTTGTGTTGATTGAATCTTTCATAGCCAAATATTAGTATCCTTTTGATAACTCACTTTAAAGCATTAATGAACTTTGTAAAAAGTTCCCAAACTTGCACAAACTTAGGTTGATCTGGCTCCAGAACTCTGAATGCTGTTCTTACTACCATACCATACCACCTTGCTATTTTCATTCTAAAAGATTCATTAAAAATTTAACCATTTACTTTCTCTAATTTAGCTTTAAGCTACTGCTAATTTTATTCATCTGCATAGCCTTGGGTCTAGGAAGATCAACGTTCCAACTCTATGTGGGCCAGTAATCATCACTGTGTTTATACATCAGTAAACAATGTAGTCTTCTCAAAAATTTAGTCTATGTGACAGTTGGTTTATATAAAGAACCAAAGACAAGGGGTAGGGGAGTGAAATAGTTTAACAAGGCTCTATCACCTTTCCTAACAAGACAGCAAAGGACTGAGGAAGATCGGTGATTAGCATTGGAAAGAAGACTAGGTTTTGAGTCAGAAAACCTGGATTTAAGTTATAGTTTTGTTTGTCACATACTAGCTCCGTAACTTTGGCTAAATCTTTCAACCTCTCTGAATTATTTACTGTTTAGTAAAAATGGAGATGATAATAGAACCTCACAGCACCTCAAGGATTGAAATCATGTATGTGAAAGTACTTAGAAAGACAGTACAATGCTGAGGACACCACAAGAAATCATTATAGTATAGATTACTGTAAGTGATAAGTTTTGGATACATTTTCAAGTCATAATATGTGGTAATTTTCATAGATTTGATTAACCCAGTTTATTCTTCAGTAATTCAAAGAAAAAAACGGTAATTATACTATGTTAGTGAACAAAATAAACATGGAATATTTATTTATAATCTATTTACTTTTTTTCACTGCTTTTACAGGAGAGCCTTGAACCTAGGAATTCTTCGAGACCCTGGATCAGAAATTGAAGATAGACAATACCAAATAGACCTGCAGTCCATCAATATTGGTACTGCACAATGGGATCAACTAAAACCAGAGAAGGAAAGTGGCACAGGAGGGGTGCTAACAGAGAGTGAAAGAAATTCTCAAAATCCAGCCCTTGAATGGAATATGGCCAGCAGGTGAGTAATGACTGAGAAACTTTCTACACTTTCTAATATTTCATTGCCAGAACAGGAGGTGATATAATCTTTTGCAACCTAAGTGTTTTGGTATTGCTTCTGCATTTCATGTCAAACATAAAATATATTTTGTAATTATAGCTGGTGGTTTTACTTGGAAACCTGCTAGTCTTACCACTGTTACACCTTAATTATTACAAATTTAAGATTATGTCAGCATTTTTTTTGAAAAGCTTGCTATTTGATGAAAGGTTCCTCTTCTAGTTAAGGATACAGTCACATTTTTCCCTTGAAATGCATTGTATTCAAGGTCAGATTTTTTTTAATCTCTCTTTTCTACTTATAAAGAAGAGAAAAGTAACAAAGGCTCTGGGATTTTTTTAGTTTACTTTAACTAAAAGCAGCTATATTCACAGAGAACATTTTTAAAGGAATTAGTCTTGAATGTGAACTATAATATTTGTAAAGGGCTGCTGCCATCTTACCCAGGCTATTCATGGTTCTCATCAGTGAATTAGGATTGTTTGCTAGAATGAAGGTACTAGGAATTAAAGGTACTTTGGGGGCAGGGGAGGGGGCGGTGAGGAAGATTGGCCGTGAGCTAACATCTGTTGCCAGTCTTCCTCTTTTTTGTTTGTGGGACGCTGCCACAGCATGGCTTGATGAGCTTTGCATAAGTCCATTCCTGGGATCAGAACCCATGAACTCCGGGCCACTGAAGTAGAGTGCATGAACTTAACCACTGCATCACAGGGCCAGCCCCTAAAGATACTTTTATATTGTAAAATTGGAGATCTTTATTATTTTAAGGAAGAGTTAATTATTTTTAATCCTTTTTTTTTTCTTTATAAGATTCAGTAGCATCTGTTGCTTATAACACCATGGTGGTTTGTTGATTGGATTTCTTTAAAACATTGTATGTAGACTTTATTATATGCCTTTCACAATGCTGATTGCTTTGGGGTTCTGCCCTTTTACCACCAAAACTGTGTTTATCCATTTGTTGTTGTTTAGTGCCATCGAGTTGATTCCAACTCCTGGTGACCCTGTGTACAGCAGAGCACAACCCTGCCTAGTCTTTTAACCCCATCCTCTTACCTTCCAGCACTATATCAGACAGTGCTCCCCTTCTTTTCATAGGGTTTTCATGACCAATCTTTCCACAAGTGGGTGGCCAGGTCCTTCTTCCTAGTCTGCCTGAGTCTGGAAGCTCTGCTGAAAAGCTGTCCACTATAAGTGACCCTCCTGGAATTGGAGATACCAGTGGCATAGCATTCAGCATTACAGCAACACAAAGCCACAACAGGATGACAACTGACAGATGGGTGGTGTGGTTCCCTGACTGGGAAACAAACTCAGGCCAGAGCAGTGAGAGCCCTGAATCTTAACCACTACCCCACCATGGCTGGCTGTATGTACCACATCTTGGCGCTAATAATAGCAACAACTTTAACAATAGATTATATAATACTTATCACTTTACCTGACTTATTTAACTTGATTTTCACAATAATGTTATGAGGTAAGAACTGTTTTCCCTAATTATACATGCTAAGACATAGACAAGGTAAATAACTTGCCTGAAACCAAGTGCTAAGTGGTAGTTTGTACTCCTTATAAGATTCTTCTTCAAGTACCCACATTCTTTTCTAACATGTGCTTTATTCATTATAAGCTTCTTTTAGCTTCCTGCAGATATGATTCACTGCTTGCTAGTAGGCCTTTGTATATGATCTTCTCTTTGCCTGGAACTCTTTAACCCACTGTTTTCATTTGCCTAACTTTTATCATTCATCAAATCTCAGAGTAGACATCACGTTTTCCAGGAAGTCTTCTCTGAATAACCACCGAGTAGCTTAGGTTTCCCATCTGTGTGCTCTTATTGTATCACTTAGCATATTTAATTTGTCTGTATACTCTGTCTGGGTCCTGAGGGCAGAGATCATCACCATTCTGTCCAGCAACTTATCCCTAACGCAAAGCACTTTTATGATAAAATATATTAGCATAGCCCTTCATTGACAAGTGATCAAATGTGCCCCTGAGGAAAGGGTATAAATTTGGGTGACAAATCTCCCACCGGTGGCCAAGGTACGTTTCAGGAGCAGGATGCAATTATCGAGCCATCAGCAGGCAATAGTCCTGGCAGCTGCGATGAGTGGTGATTTGGCCCTGAGGGAAGCATCTGGATGCACACCACACATCCACTACTCAAGTCCTGATCTCCAGACATCACATGATATCAGCCAGGATCAAGTCCCCTCATTTCCTCCACTTCACTCAGTTTTCAGATTTAGGAAGTACCAGCTTGCAAAACTTATAGGTCATCATTTCTTAAGAACTACAAATTCCATCATCAACAAAGATGATGAGCCTTATTTTCCTAGGAAATTTTATGATCATCTGGGCTTAACTCAGCTATATCTCTCCTATTTATTCATTAATTTATTTAATAAATAGTTTGCGTGCGTGTTTAATAATTGATTGAGTTGAAATTCACACAAAATTAGCCATTTAACATGAACAGTTTAGTGGCATTTTGTACATTCATAATGTTATGTAACCACCACTTCTATAACCACCACCTCTATCTTGTTCCAAAACATTTTACTCACCCCAAAGTAAAACCTCTTCCTCACTAAGCAGTTTGTCCACATCCCCTCCCAGCCCCTCATGGCCCCTGGCAACCTCCAGTGAGCTTTCTGTCTCCATGGATTTACCTATTCTGGATATTTCTTATAAATGGAATCATATAATATATGACCTTTTGTGTCTGGCTCATTCACTTAACATAGTGTTTTGGACGTTTATCTACCTTGTAGCATGTATCAGTTCTTCATTCTTTTTTATTGCTGGATAATATTCCATTGTATGTACATACCACAGTTTGTTTATCCATTCATCTGTTGGACATTTGAGCTGTTTCCACTTTTGGTTTCTGTGGACATTTGTGTACAGGTACTTGTTTTCAGGTATTTGGGATATATACCTAAAAGTAGAATTACAGGGTCATCTGGTAATTTAATGTTTAACTTTGAGGAGCTGCCAAACTGTTTTCCTCAGCAGCTGAACTATTTCTCCACATTCTCACCAATACTTATTTTCCATTTTTTTGACTATAGCCATCCTACTGGGTGTCATTTTGATTTGTATTTCCATTGTGATAACTGATACTGAGCGACTCTTCATGGGCTTGTTGGCCATTTGTATATCTTCTTTGTAAAAATATTTATTCAAGTCTTTTGCCCATTGTTTAATTGAGTTGTTTGTCTTTTTGTTGAAGATTTGAAGGTCTTTATTTATTCTGGGTACTATACCCCATCAGATATATGATATATAAATGATCGTCTCATTTTCTTGATAATGATGTTTGATGCACAAGTTTTTAATTTTGATGAAGTCTAATTGATCTATTTTTTCTTGTTTCCTGTGCTTTTGGTATCATATCTAAGAATCTATTGCCAAATCCAAGGTCGTGAAGATATTTACCTGTTTTATTCTAAGAGTTTTATGGGCTTAGCTCTTATAGTTAGGTTGTTGATCCATTTCGAGGATTTTTGTGTCTGCTTTTTTTGTTTGTTTTTGTATATGGTATGAGGTAAAAGTCCGGTTACATTCTTTTGCGTGTGGATATCCAGTTATTCCAGCACCATTTGTTGAAGAGATTGTTTTTTCACCATTGAATGGTCTTAGCACCTTTGTTGAAAGTCAGGAGACTTCTGAATGTTCAGTATATGCCATGAAATGCCTTTACAGTAGAGAAACAAAACAAAATAATTTCTGATATGTGCCTATCCCTTACAGAGCACAGCATCCAATCAAAAGAGACAGTAATTAATTAACTGTTAGAGTGCAATGTGGAAAGTGCTATGATAGACATAAATACAGGATACTTAGGATTAAAGAAGAAACCCTCAAAATCAGAATAAACGCATTCTTGTGCACATAGGACATCTCATGTTAATAGATGTGACAGACACATGAAGAGAACAATAATCTAAAATCAACATAGGTACAAAATAGAGAATTTAAAGAAAGAAATGAATGATTAACTCTATGGCTGGGTTTTCAGGGAAGGTTTTACAGAGAACGTAGCTTCTGAATTTGTTTCCACAGAGTATGAGTGGCAGGAGAGGGAGCATTTTGAACTAAGAAAGCAATAAATCCAAAGGCTAGGAGTATAAAAAAATTGTGTGTTTTATTCACTTGAATACCCAGCACGTAATATGCTTGGTACATAATAGGTACTTAATAAAGATTTGGGTGAATTAATGTGAGATTGAATGATTAGATGATTAAGTAGAGCTAGCAAATCATGTGTCCAAATGTGTTTCTGGGAGAGATTCGTTCAAATGAAGAGGAGAAATTTGAGACCTTATGTAGCTTAGTTCTGTTGATTAATCTTGACAGAAATATAAACAGAACCTTAATATATTTTTGTTTTTCAATAGGTATTGCAGGTAAAATTCAAAAGATACACAGTGAAGAACAATTTGCTCCCTCCCCTGACCAGTATTAAATGGCAGCCTTTGTAATGGTTTTCATTCATTTTTCCTGGGTACATTACTCAAATTTTGTGTTTAATCATCATGTGTTTCTGTGTATATGCTCGAGCAGGGGGAGCAGGGAAGTTAAGCATAAAGAATCATCAAATTTTATAACTTTAGGTCTTCTTCCAATCCCTTAATTTTTCAGCTGAGGAAATATATCAGGGCTTCGTCAGGCCAGCAGAACCACTGTAAGTATTGTAGTATAAGGGGTTTATTTTAGGAATAAGACCTTATTCAATTATGGAATAAGCTGGGAAGTAAGGATCTAAAGGAGGGAGGTGGTGGATTAGAGAGATGTCACTACCAAATTCTCTTGACCAGGTGACCTGGGTAAAAAATTTGTAGCTTCCTCGGGAATCTGGGAAGCCAGACACGTCCAGCTGGAGGGATCGTAGGAGGCTGGTAGAGAAGTCCATGGGAGGCTGTTGCTCTGTGTCTGAGGGTGAACCT